ACCTAATGATATACAAAGAATAATACAAATATTACCCTACTTATAAAACAGTGAAGGCTGGAAAGAGGGCTCAGGGGTTCAGAGCATCTGCTGCACTTGGAGAGAGATAGGGTTCTTATAACCATTTGTACTGTACCTCAAGTTTCAGAGGGTCCAAAGTCCTCTTCTGATTTCTGCAGGCACCAGGCATGAATGTGGTGCAAGCAGGCAAAACACTCACACACATAAAATAATAAAACAAGAAATACATGGTTTTGACATAAGATCTTGCCATGGCAGGCATAGAACTCTCTATGTGGACAAGGTTGGCCTCAAACTCATAGAGATCTGCCTGCCTCTGTCTCCCAAGTGCTGAATTAAAAGTATGCATCATCCATACACACCTGGCCTAAGTTTGCCTTTAACTTCTAAACATACATAATCAGAATGCTGTGTCCTAGGATTATTTCAAACAGCTCTTCTGTTTGTGCAATTACAGTTGGCAATTTGACATATAATTAGGGTTTTTTTGTTTCAGTTTATTTTCAGTTTTAGAGTGGTGTCTTGTATTCTTTATATAATTTTATTTTGAGCCTTTTGTAGAACTATGTACTAGCATAAGATGCACTTGCAGAACTCTTCTGTTGGCTTCTACAACACCCCTGCCACCTTTTATCTTATCCCATTTGTTTTTCCTTTTAAAGTTTATAAATTGTTAAATATCACATATAAACATGCAAAACAAAAGGAAATACCTCAAGTTTTCATGGCCATCTAGGCAACCCAGTTGCAGAAGCAAAGAATTTCCAGCGTTCCCTTTTCTCAAAGCTAAGTATTATCATTCTCTTACTGACCACATGTGTTTCTTTGCTTTCATTTGTGGTTTAAAGCCTGAACAAGGCACTCTAACTGTTGGTAGACTGGGTTCATCTTGGGTTATCATGAATTGAATGACTGTGTTTGCCCTGTATATGTCTGTATTTGTGTGAGAGGAGGCAGGTAGTCTAATACAACCTCACAGGCAAGTGGGGAAACCTCTCCTCATCACTCCCCTTTAATCTCCATCCTGCTAACCTAATGAGCATCCAGAGGAAGAGACATTCATTCATGACACTCCCCTGGGACAGAAAAGCAGGTGAAGACTAATGAAGTAAAAATTGTAGTAGCAGAAAATAAAAAGTACCCACTTATTTACCCATTGTTATTTTATGTAATTTCTCCTCTTTTTTGTGAAAATCATTGGTCAGTATGAGCTGTTTATTTTCTCCTCCTCCTCCTCCTCAGTTTTCACAAGTTAGTAACTGTTAACATCTTTTCTCTGTGCCTGTCTGTCTTCAAATTTCCCTTTTTGTAAGGATAGCAGCCACTTTAGACTAAAGTTCATTTTTGATGACCTCATTTTAACTCAACAGCTTTATTTACAAATAAGAGGCTGATGTCTTGAGCCCAGGATTTGAAGATGAATTTGGAGGAGAAAGAATTCAAACCAAGCAGTTGTCGGTTGGCCCATGAACTCATCTTTAAGATTTCTCGAATTGGTGTCCTTCTCACTCTCTTGGGTTCTATTTCAGTGGGAAGCATTCCCTGCTCTTCCTGTGCCTTAACCATTACTAGGCAGAAACCTTACTTTCCCTACAACTTTCACTGCCCTCCCCTTTCAGAAACTTAGGGGTTCCTGTCTGTCACGTGTGATCCAAGTGTGTGTTACCTGGTCCTCTGCATCAAAAACTAAGTTACCTTCCTTTTAAAAGTTTCTATCTGTGCTGGGCATTGGAGGCACACACTTTTAATCCCAGCACTTGGGAGGCAGAGGCAGGAGAATCTCTGTGATTTCTAGGCCAGCCTGGTCCACAAAGAGTTCCAGCACAGTCAGGGCTGTTACACAGAGAAACCCTGTCTTGAAAAAACAAAATAAATACAAACAAAAAGAAAGGAGGAAGGAAGGAAGGAGGGAAGAAAGAAGGAAGGCAGGAAGGAAGGAAAAAAAGGAAGGAAGGAAGGAAGGAAGGAAGGAAGGAAGGAAGGAAGGAAGATTTTATGTGGGGTTGCAGAGATGGCAAAGGACTCTGGTTTGGTTCGCAGCTCCCACAGTGGTTTACAACTATCTGTAACTTCAGTTTCAAGAGTCCCAACACCCTTTTCTGGTCTCCAAAGGCACCAGGGATGCATGTGGTACACATACATACATACAGGCAAACACTCACACACATAAAATAAAAATATATACATCTTTAAAAGTTCCCATTGTTTTTCAAACTACTTGTTTGGACCACAGAGGGCAACTTTGATTTTTAAATTGAGAAGCTGTCGAGGATGAGGCTTCTACATGTGAAAATAATGGCAGTGCAAGGACCTGAAAGCATGGGTCCTGGGTACCTTTTGCTCAGCACAATTAGGGATGAGTGGCTAGAGCAAACAGGATGGTACATCAAGGGAAAGTGGAGTTGACTGAAGGGATTGGCAAGACTCTGACTACTCCGTGGGCCAGATAAATTGCTTGGACTTTTCCCTAGAAAATTATTTATAACTAAGCTCTCCAACAGTGAATACTTCTATTCACAACTAGTTGAACAAGGCCTGGGGGAGCACATGATAGATTTAGGAGCCAATTCAAAAGAGACAAGAAGTTTGTGTGTGAGATAATCCTAGAAATTACAAATCAGGACTAGAAAACTCAATCATGTTAAAGATGAAAAGTCCAAGCTGGGAGGTGGTGATGCACACCTTTAATCCCAATACTCTGAAGACAGAAGCAAGAAGATCTCTGAGTTCAAGGCCAGCGTGGTCTACAGATAGAGTTCCAGGACAGCCAGAGCTACACAGAGCAACCCTGTCTCTGAAGCATGGTGTTGAACAGGTTACCACTGGTGGCTGGTGGCCTCTGGGTTAACAGTCACTGGGCATCCCTTGAAGAATATTAAATACTGAATATTCTTCTGAACTGTTCGTAAGTATGGAGGAATCAAATATGTTTGCACTGAAGTCCTTCTCTACTTGAGGGCTACCTTGGGGACATTAAATCCCAGGTCCTTCAGGACAGTCTAAAGCACAGAAAAGTTTATTCTATGCATTCCAGATGAGAAGCAGAGAACTCCAGGGCTTAGGATGGGACTATGTTAATAGAGATGGGAACTATCCACTCACAGTGGTTGGATGAAGATATGTTCCAGGAGCTAAGGGATGGGATGCTGATAATGTTTGCTTCCTCCAGACACTTGGATGAATCTATATTGTCCCTAACTACTCTTCAAGGTTTCTGGGATTATAAAATATATTCACAGAGGAACCAAATACATACAGTCACAGGAGCTTGGCACAATGGTTCTCAGGGCTAAACAAACAAAGAAGAAAGGCATAGGAATAGGTTTGGAAGAAGAGCAATGGGTTAATGGATTTGATGGGTGCAAGGGACAATTGAGTAGAAATAACTGACTGGAGGCAAATACAGAGTCTATTTCCACATAACATGAAAGGCTGGGCAACCAGATTATATGTCATGGCTAGGGTGCCAGTGGAAAAGGCTACTGTGACAGCTGTGGTCACCCCTCACATTCTCTACCCTCAGAAAGGAAAGAACACAAGGAAATGCCTTCAATCAGGCATTCAGAGTTGTGTCTTCACCCCTCCCTCTCTCCCTTGGGAAATTCTGGCCAATTTGTGTCCCATGTGCCCTGCCTCAAGACAGGCTCATAGAAAGTGTTTGCATAAAAGTCAACTTTAATTAGCCATCTTTGGGTCATCCAAGAATTTTGAGGCAAGGAGGGGGGTCCTGGGGAAAAGGACGTTATACAATGAGATCTCAGTCGGCAACAAGGTTGAGGCCCACAGTGGGGAATGGCCCAAAGAAGCCCTAAAAGAGAAGAAACAAGGGAATTGTGGTCAGGCTGGAGAGACACCATGCCTCCCTACCTGCCCTCCTTCCTCAAGTATGTAAGAACTGCTTGGTTTGAGTAAGCCTTCCCAGTAATGACTCAGCCCAAAGGTTGGCAGCCTAAGACCCTGGCTCCCACTTACAGTCCTCCTGCTGTGATTTTCCATTACACTGGGGAGCTGGGGAAGAGCAGTGTAGCTTTGTTCCTGTTCCTGAAAGCACCAGGGCAGCCAGTTCCGCACAGGTGGGCCTCTGCCTTTTATCTGGGATTATGTTACCCCAGCAACTAACCTAGGTTTAGAAGTCCTAGCTGCCCAAACTGCAGGAATGGGAGCCCCGTTTCCCTGGAAAGCATCACCGTGCCTCACAATTAGGGTGGCCTTTTAAAAACTAAATGTCTCATTAGGACATCCCCTTCCTCAAAATACTCCAGGGACTCCCCACTGTCCTTGCAATAAAATGAGCCGTGTGCTCTGTGAGCCCCTACATGAGCTTCCTTCTCCATCCTTAGCTGTCACCAGATGCTCTGTTCCTGTCACTGGCCATGGCATTCTTGCCTCCGGACATTTGTGGTTGCAATGCCCCCTCACCTTTGTGACTTCTGGATGTTACTCTCTTATCATGCGTCTTAGCCCTAAACAAGATTTTTTTTTTTTTAAATGGAGAAATCTGATGTTTGGAACACCCCCACCCCAAGGCTTTAGAAAGAGGACAAGAAACACACAGGGGAAGCTGGGAATTAGGAGGCCTGGGTCTAGTCGCATGGACACAGCATGGTGGGTTAAGGAGGTTTTATTACAAGCCAGTGCCCCAAATTTCCATCTGTAAAATACTAGATGGGTGACTTCTATTCTAGAATACAAGGAGATGCCTCGGAGCTTGCCCCGCCATACCAAAGCAAGGCAGAGATGATGTTGAAGCCTCTGCCCCATGTTTCCTCTATATCCAGAGCTCATCTTAGCTACACTGATGGCCCTCTGGTTTTCACTTCCTATTTTACACTCAAACCTGATGCATATTTGGCTTTTGTCCTCCTTAAGAGCTCCCAGAAGCTGTGTCATGCCCAAGTCTCTCGTCTGGATTACCTAGATGGTAGTCTATAATCAAGCAGGACTATTCTTTAGGTACAAGAGTTTGTTTTATCCCTCTTTTATATCTGCCCCCCCCCATTTAAACATGTCCTTGATGATTCTAGTGTCCTTAGGCGATCTGGGCCCCTCACCTTGGTGGGGTGGTTTACTTCTTGTTTGGGAGCCTTTGGAACTACTTTGGTAGCAAAGCATCGGTCCCTGTTCACCTTGACCGCTGGACTCTATTGGAGGAGAGAAGGCAGGAGTCAGGAAGGAGGCAGGAAGGATAAGATGATCTGAGTGGGAAAGCCAAAGGAATTCAAAACTAGGGCTTCACAGTTTGGGTGAAGATAAATGGTCTCACCTTGGGGTATAAGAATCCATGTTTCTCCTCTTGCTTACCCCTAGAAGAAATAGGGATGGCAGGTGGAACCTAGGCTTGCTGATACCTCCCTGCCCCCTTTCTGAAGTGCAATTATTATCCTGATAGAACTATTCCCCATGGATCCTAGAAATGGAACACAGTACTTCTGGTAGCTTCTACGCACAGTTCTAGTACCCTAAAGAGCAGGGGCCAACCATAGGTTTCCATACCTCACCCCAGTGGTTGCAGTGGGGGAAACTGCCTTCCCTTCCTTTCGGCATGGGTTGTGGAGGTGGAGTCGGCTGAGGTGCTCCACCTTTTTAGTGAGTACTTCTTGGGCTAGTTCATCTGTCCAGAACAGGTCTGTAGGGTGAGAGGACCGAGTGAATTGACAGCAGGGGCCAGAGTGACCACTCCCTCCAGTGTAAACAAGACCACATTTAATAGAGAAAGTCATGTGTGGAAAGGCTGCTGAGCAAAGTCCTGGCACATCATATCTAATGAATCTTCCGATTTACTTGTGGACACAGTAGGACTAAGTGAAGCTAAAGATGGAAACACAGACCTGAAAAACCAAACCAAACAACAAAAACCCTCCAATGCTATCCTGCAGACTTTGAAGTTTTTTGTTTTGGTTTGTTTTTTTTTCTTTTTTTTTTTTTGGTATTTCAAGAGGTTTCTCCTTAGCTTTGGTTTGGAGCCTGTCCTGGAGCTCACTCTCTCTATAGACCATGCTGGCCTTGATTTCACAGAGATCCACCTGCCTCTGTCTCCCAAGTGCTGGGATTAAAAGCATACACCACTACTGCCTGGGACATCCCAAGTATCTTGAAAGGCTTGTTAGTACATGATTGCTGTTTTTCACATCCAAAATCAGTAGGTTGGGGTGAAGTTCAAGAATTATGTTTAGTATTTTACTTTGTGTGTGTATGCGTGCGTGCACACACACATGCACCCATGTGCATGCATGCAGGCATGTGTAGACCACAGTATCTTCCTCAATAACTTCCCACATTATTTTATGTTTTTGAGACTGTGTTTACTTTTCATTCTATTTGTCATTATCAACACTGTCATCATCATCATTGTGAGTGTGTGTGTCCACATTCGTGTTGGAGGTCAGAGTAAAATTTATGGAGTTGATTCTCTCCTTTTCACCTTTACACCGGTTCTGAGATTTGAATTCAGTTTATCCAGCTGGATAGCAAGTTACCCACCAAGCCATCTCATTGGTTTTCCACCTGATTTTTGAGATAGCATCTTTCACTGAATTTTATTAGGCTAGACTAACTGTGCAGTGAGCTCCAGGGATCTCCCTGTCTCTATGTCTTCACCCTCAGCACAGGTTTTACAGTCACATGCCACTCCTCCTGGCTTTTATGTGGGTGACAGGGATTCAAACTCAGGTTGTCACAATTGGATGGCAGACATTTTTCCACTGAGCCACCTCCCCAGACCTAGGATTTAGTAGTTCTGAAGATCCCCTGATGATGATACAAGTGTTGCTGGTTTAGGAACTTTTAAAAGAATTGGGTATAGTGTGGACTCAAGGCATATTTTCTATCCTAATTACCCACACGTGAAACTCTGTAGAAGTTTCAACCATCCATCCTTAATGGACTCCCCCTATCTTTCTCCTCTTTCACATAGTTTCCCTCTTCCTACTCAGAGGCTGAGATGTGCCACTGGTCTCTTGGCTGAACACTTAAGGAATCCTGGCTCTAGAAAAATTCAGACAGTGCTAGAGGTTGAGACTGGTTCCAAGGACTTGCATGCTGACCCCTTTCAGGGTGTTTGAGAGCTAACAGCCTCTTCATCTAGAGTCTACCTCACTCTTTCCTTGTTCCCTTCCATGCTAAGGTGATAAGAGACATGCAAGCAAGAGCAATCTTACCCTCTGGCCAATAGTCTCTCAGTTTTCCCCACATATCTGACTGGGCCCCCATCTCTGTTCTCTGGCTTTTACTTACCTTCTGGTACAATCTGCTGAAGTATAAGTTGTAAGTACCGGAAGACTGAAGCAGCAAATCCTTGGAATGACCAGAACTGCTCCGATGCTACTTGGCCCTGACCATCTAAGGGCAAAATAGTGCTGTCAGCAAATACCTTGGTCTGAATCACTCCAAATTCCAGTTGAAGAGAAGCCACCACCTTTCCCCCATTGTTAACTCAAAGCCAGGCCCTTTCCCCCTGTTGGAGTCCCCTTTGTTATTCGCTCCTTCATTATCATCAGTCCCTGAACTCCATTCACTTTTTTGTTATTGTTTGAAATCATGCTTTTTTGGACCGTGGTGGCACACACCTTTAATCCCTGCACTTGGGAGGCAGAGGCAGGTGGATCTCTGAGTTCAAGGCCAGTCTGATCTACAAAGTGAGTTCCAGGACAGTCTCCAAAGCTACAGAGAAACCCTGTCTCAAAAAACCAAAAAAGAAAAGGAAGGAAGAAATAGGGCTTTATTAAATATATTTGGCTATCCTGGAACTCATTATGTTCCAGATCTACCTGCCTCTGCCTCCACAGTACTGGAATTAAAGGCATGCACTGTCACACTTGGCTTCCATTCACTCTTGGTATCAACATCTAGGCAAGAACCAAACACACAGGCAAGAAATATCCCAAGAAGGTGAGGGTGTGAAGAGTCTTGAGAGCTACCCACATGTGGTGGGCAATGGGATGGGCAGGCGTAGTCTGGGAAGCAGATAAAATGCACCTAAAGGAAAACTTTCAAGGTGGAACCATTAGGGTAAAGAACCAGAATCCTTAGAAAGAGAAAGTACTATTTCCACCAGTATCTTCAGAGGGGTGGGTCTCAGACTACCCTCCATACCAAAATCTGTAGATCTCCAAGACCCTAATTCAAAATGGTTTATTATATGTATGTTACTTACAAATATCCTCCTGTACACTTTATTTTCAATTGCCTTTTGTGTGTGTGCACTCATACACATGCACCTGTGCGCACAAAAGCATGTGCCACAGCACGAATTTGGAGATCTGAGGACAACTTCCAAAGTCAGTTCTCTCCTTCTCCTACATGGGCCCTAAGGAGTCAACTCAGGTTGTCAGCTTGGTGGCTTGCCAGCCCCTTCTTGTATATTTTAAATAATCTCCCAATTATTTCTAGTAGCTAATATATAAAGCAAATAGTTGTTTTGTGCATTGTTTAGAGAATAATGACAAGGGAGAAAAACCTGCATTCTACCCACAGTTGACAGAATTGAGGATGCAGAATTTCAAGATGGAGAATGTGTGGGCAGGGAGGGATAACTGTATTCTTGTGTGTAAGGTCTGTAGGATGGGCTCTTCTTCCTAAAACCCATAGTTTTCTCAACTGTGTAAGAGTAGGGCAAGGATGAAGAAACACATGGTTCTTGTTCCAGATAAGTGAATAGGGCTACAGAAAGATCTCCCTACCCCACTCCAGCTAATTAAAAAATTAAAAAGGGAGGCGGGTAGGAACGGATGAACGAAGGAGAGGGAAGAAAAAGTGGCTATGCATCTCAGACAGGTCTAGACTTTTCAATCCAGGCTTAGCCTCCCCCTCACTCTATTCTGATGGATACCCAATACAATTTCCCGACCCAGAAAGAAGCGGAACCTCTAGTGTCCCGGTGAAAAGGAGCGTTTCCAGAGGAGAGGTGGTGTTGTCTGACAAAGTCTGAGAGCGGTAATGGAGGTGTGGGGGCATGGAGCCACTCCAGGATCCACAGAATGGCTGGAGCTCTCCGTGGTGCTGAGGGCCAGGAGTGGTCACCGTGGGCGGTAATGGAGAGACACCTCGGTTTCTGTACTTCACACCCCATCTCCACTCCGTCCCATCCCCACCCCGCTCCAGCCTTCCCTTCGTCTAACACCAGGTATCCTCCCACAGTGCTTTGCAAATGCTCTGCATTGGCTTCCAAACCCAAGAATCCCGGGAGACCGGACATCAGACTATGACTTTATACAGGGTCTGCGCAGGTATTCTGAGACTGCGCAATCTGTTCCCGACTGTTGCAAAGTGAGTGCGCTCTAGGTCCGTCCAGGATGACGCAGAACAGCCGGAGGAAAGAGAATGGTCTTCTTCCCCCTCCAACCTGTTTCACCCCAACCTAGCTCCCCCACCCCCACTCCATGACCGACGTGTCCTGGAACCGGATCCCACCCAGTCCCTGGGCCCTGCGGCTCTACGACTGAGCCTTGATTTATCTTTCAGCTCCACCCACCTACTCCCTTGATCCCGGATCAGGTACCCAAATACAATCACTCCTGTTCCCACACCAAGCCCTGTCCATTTCTTCTGAAGGGTTTGGCGTGTACCGCGACCACCCTTGGTTCATCTGTCTTCCTCACTCTTTCCGGAGCCCCAACCTTTCCCTGGGTTCGCTCCTTCTATGTCTAGACCCTGTGCAAGAAACCCCAGGACTACACTAGTCTCAGACCCTGAATTTCTCTCCTCTGTCATCCCAAACGGCTTTCCTCCTGAGTTTCAGCCTTGAAGGTCAGATCCTCTGCTCTCAGAATTACTCTCTGGACTCGCCCGCACCCCCCGGGTTTCCTCCTGACCGTGGGCTCTTATGTCGCTGCAGCTGCCTGGACGACTGTAAAGCAGAAGGAAGCAGACCAGAAGCTGAAGCCCCCCGGAGCCCGCGGGCCTCAATGAGCTCTGCATCTTCCTTGGGTCCGAATGCTCGCTTTCCTGGGCTTGGCCGCAGTGGAAGTAGCAACAGCCAGGGGGCTGGGCCAGAATGTCACTTTCCACCCGCTAGCGACGTGACTAAGGATCTGCAGAGCCCTCCTCTGCAACTCAGCCAATCACAAGCTGGCCCTGCCCCTGCAGACGCCTACCCAAGTCGGCCATCCCCCTTATGGCCTCTCTCCATTCGACCTTTTGGAATTTCTGTTCTCACCCTCTACTCACTTTTCGAGATAAGCCTCCAGGGAGAGACTGATTGCTTATAAAATGGGGATGGGAACGGTGCCGACTTCATGGGTTTTGTTATGATATTTAACATGAACTGCGAGGGAAGAGTGAACCCTCAATGTGATGAATGTCTATTGCCTTTGACACTCGTTTTATCCCCATCCATTTAAAATCTTTTAGCAACCATATAGGCTCAACCCGCAAAACACTGAACGCCCATCCTCATTTTCCCACAGCCACTGCGGTTGCCCTAATCCAAACCACGGTACTCTTTAAAACAGATCTATTTCAATAACTAACCACTTTCTCCCTATAGGGTAGTGAGCAGGCCATATTTCTAAACTGCAGTATGAGTTTTGTTGTAAACTGGATGTTTGGTTGGTGCATTGTGGATTCTGTGGGTTACATTATCTTTATCTTTCTTTAGTAATCACTGCTGAGGTTCTTTTGAGATTTCAGTGAGAGGTAGGCCCTCTAATTTTGTGGGTTCTGAACTCCAGGGTTTGCCCCTCTAGAACTGTGGCAGCTTCTGAAATCTTTGTTCCGATATTTTGTTTTCTCATTATGTAGGCTGGGCTAGCCTAGAACTCAGAAATCTGCCTGCCTCTGCCTCCTGAGTGCTAGAATTAAAGGCATGCACCACCATGTTCACAAGATTCAGAGATTTCTAAAGGAGGGCTTCTTAAGACTCAGGGAATAAACAATTTAAAAACTCCAGGAAGTTCCTGAAAATGACCAGAAGGCCCTCCTCCTTCTCTGAAGTAAAATAGGCATTAGGGACACCTGAAGAGATGCTCCTATCCACACAGTGGAAGGAAAAATTGTCTCTGGCAAATTGTCCTCTGACCTACACACATGTCTGTGTCCACACAATACTAAATAAATAAATGTAATTACAAATAAAACAACTTTAGTTTTGGATCACATGAATGTGAGCCTGCTTTGAGAGGCACAATACTCAGGAAAAAGGTACCTGTTAGCATGAACACTAGTGAGTGTGCTCTTCTCCCTCTTAAGACTCCAGTATCCCTGGGACTCACTATAAAAATTACATGTGTCTGGGGCTGGAGAGATAGCTCAGCAATTAAGAGCATTGACTACTCTTCTAGAGGGCCTGGGTTCAATTCCCAACACTCACCTGGCAGTTTACAGCTGTCTATAGCTCCAGTTCCAGGGGATCTGATACCTTCACACCAATGCCCATAAAATAAAACAGTTAAATACATTTTTAAATATGTGAGCCGGGTGGTGGTAGCACATGGCTTTAATCCCAGCTCTCAGGAGATGGAGGCAGGTGGATCTCTGTGAGTTTGAGGCCAGCCTGTTCTACAGAGTCAGTTCCAGGACAGCCAAGGCTACACAGAGAAACCCTGCCTTAAACCCCTCTCCAAAAGAAAGAAAGGAAGGAAGGAAGGAAGGAAGGAAGGAAGGAAGGAAGGAAGGAAGAAAGGGGGAGTGTGGTGGCACATGCCTTTAATCACAGAACTTGGGAGGTAGAGGTAGGTTATCTCTGTGAATTTGAGACAAACCTAGTTGACACAGTAAGTTCTGGGTGGCCTGCCAGGACAACCTAGTAAAACTATCTAAATGAATAAAGAGAGCTGTGCATAAACATGGATACTTCTTTTTGGTATTTGTATCAGGATTTAACTGCTAAGAATAATGCTCCTAGACTGAAAAGATCTCAAGCCTACTGAACCTGGAGCTCACAGGGGTGAACTTTCTTCTCCAAGGGGAAGAGAAAGTATTATAACACAGGTGAGGGCAGATTCCTTGTCCTGGGTTCTTGTTAGGAATGTTGTCTAGGAGAAAGCACTTAGACCCCTGGCCTCCATCTGTACCAAGGAGCTGCACTATCCTTTTCTCCTCTCCTCAGATAGCCCCTGCCTCCCAGGCTCCCTGCACTGACCTTACAGATTTCACATCACACGTTCTTCTAGGGCCTGCTCTCTGCCTCTTAGGCTCAAATAACGCTTTCATGGAAATTACTTTCAAAAAAAAAATTTAGTAGCAGTTTACCATGTGACTGATTTGTAGAGGATTAAAAGGGTAGAGAAGCGTTAGCCAGAGAAGGAAACAGCTCAAAAAAGCTTTAAAATAAAAGGGAAATGAGGCTTGGAATTTCTCTGCATTTGTGCTGGGCCTCCGCTCTCCCACTGCACTTCACAGAGGCTTGTGATAGCTGTGTGGATCCGGGCAGGTCTGGCGGCACAGTGACTCAGCATGTCTCCCTTGATTCTCATGCCCTGTCCCTCTGGCTCATCCTTCCTGGCTTTCTGTGCAGAGCTAGATGACAAACTTGAACCTGGCAGATTCTTATTAACATGCTTCCTAGCACCATGACAACCAGTTATCATTGTGGAAATCAGTCACTCGGTGCTGTTAATATCTCTCCCCAGCAACCAATCCAGGCAGAAGCTGAAAATCTGCCATGGTAACAGAAATCAGAAGCAATGTCCTCAGAGTCAGGAAGATCTGGATCCCCTCCTCTGGAGCTGAGGATGCTCCGAGTCACCATAGTCATCTTCAAGCCAAGATGATGCTTTCTACCCACACCACTCTTGCCTTTACTGGTGAATTTTCCAAAGATGCTAAGATCGTCTGGAAATCATTTATGGCATTCTGTTCTTTCCCTTAAGGTCCCCAGTGGCTTTCTTCTGCATTTTGCATAAGCACTGGGTCCTTTGTTATTCCTTACAAGGACCTCTATGGTCATTTTGGGTTTATTTCCCAGACTCTAGCTCCCCACTAGCTATCCTGTCTATCCTCCTCAGGGGCCATTGAAGAACTGAGACACAGGGGCTGGAGAGATGGCCCAGGGGTTAGAAGCACTTGCTGCTCTTGCAGAGGATGGGGGTTAAAGGTGGCTCACAATCACCTGTAACTTCAGTACCAGGGGACCCGGGGCCCTTTGCTGGTCTCTGCAGGCATTTCACAAACATGGTGTATGTACATACATACATGCATGTAGGGGTTTGAGTATGAAAAATGATGTTAGGCTCATTGCTAGAATAGTCGGTGACCAGCTGATGGCACTGTTCTGGCGTGCATGTCGTTCTTGTTGGTCTAGAGCTCACAATGTAGACTAGGCCTATCTCAAATTTACAGATGTTTGCCTGCACTTGCCTTCCAAGTTCTGGTATCAAAGACATGTACCACTGCGCCTGGCTTGGTGCCACTGTGAGAAGGTTATAGGAAGACTGGGAAATGGAACCTCTGTAGAAAAGCGGCTCACTAGGGTTAGACATCGGGCTTTTATAGCCTGCCTTCACACTGATCCCTGGCCTCACCAAATGTGCACAGGCAGCCACAGATTGCTGCTGCCATGCCTCCTCCGCCATGATGGGACATACATACCCTCAAAACATAAGCCAGATGAGCCCTCCTTGGGGACCGAGAACGGAGGTTTATCTTGAAAAGTATGTAGAGGGTGAGAACAGAAATGCCAAAAGGTCGAATGCTTGCATGACGAGAGCTTTATCCCCTGAGTCGCCTCCCAGGCCTCCAAAAGGATCCCTGAAGTAAGGATTGGGTGCTAGTGAGGCAGTGAGGGGCATGCTGGTAAGGGCCATGCCAAGTGCCTGTGGGAATCAATCCTGCTGGTGATTGAGCTGGGGAAGAGCTAGCTTGAAGACTAACCATAGCCAGCTGTGGTGGCTGACGCCTGTAATCCTAGCATTTGGGAGGCTGAAGCAGGAGAAATGGAGTGCTAGCCTTGGCTGTATGAGTCTCTGTCAAAAACAGAGAGACAGACAGACGACAGACACAGAGAGGCAGACTCGAGACAGAAACAGAAAGGACGCACAGTCAACACCAACAGTAACATATCAGGAAAGCAGAGGTTGGAGGAGAAGGCTCCCGTTGCAGCCTTCATAAGCTATGGTTATGACTCAGAGTGGCCATAGTAGAGAAGTCCTAAAATGGGAAGAAACAAGGAAGTTTCTTCTTTTAAGATTTATTTTTATTTTATGCCTGTCAGTATTTCGCCTGCACAGAAGTCTATGCACATACATGTACGTCTTCTGGCAGAAGAGGGTGTTAGATCTTCCCGAGCTTGAGTTATAGATTGTTGGTAGCTACTCTGTGGGTTCTGAGAACAGAACCTGGGTCCTCTGGGAGAGCAGCAAGTGCTTCTAAGGCACTGAGCCATCTCTCCAGCTCTGAACAGAGCAAGAAACAAGACATTTTCACACAATGCAGGAGAGGCAGGACTGTCACCCCTCCCCTCCCATCCCTGCAACTTGAGAACAAGTATCAGTAGCAGTCAAATGAGCCCAGAGACAAACAACCCAGGCATCTCCAACTCTTGCAGGATTTTCCATTAGCTACACTGGACTCTGGTCACATCCCCTGAGCCTGGAGAATGGCAGCTGCTTGTTTGCATACTTGAAGGAACCATGGCAACCATTTCCCATCACAGGGTCAGTCACAGGACTGATGGTGTGACCCAGCAACCAATCGGAGTAGAGGAGACCAGCTGCCATGGTGACAGGGCTGGGACCAGTCGGAAAGGAACCTGGGAGCCTCTGAGGAGCAGGCTGACCTGGGCAGATCCAGCTGGCTCCTAGCTGTGTTTTCCCATCTTAGACCAGGGTCCAAAAGGTTCCTGCTGGTTACTCCACAGACCCTTATATGTCCGTTTATACTGTTTATTCTTTGGAGCCCATTATCTGGCTGCCTCACAATATCTTCATATAATACCTTAAAACCCCACCAAGGATTGGCCAGTGTTCTTGGAATTTAAAAAAAAAAACAGTCCCCTGAAAGCAACAGCAACAACAAAGACAAAATTAAAAATGAATAAATATAAAAATTACACACCCAAAAAGATCCCCCAGAGACTAAGCATATCTGGGGTGGGGACGGGGTGGTCTGGAA